GGTTCTGATTTTGTGTGTGTATGTTTTGTTTTTGTTTTTGTTTTTGTTTTTGACACAGGGTCCTGTTGCCCCAGCTGACCTGGAAGTAATGTTGTAAACCAACCAGACTGGCCTTGAACTCACAGAGATCCACTTGCCTCTGCCTCCCAAGAGCTGGGACTACAGGTGTGTGCCACCACACCCAGCCTGCAGAACCATCTTAAACTTCAATTTTAATGCAGAAGAAATTGTTTCTTACTGAGACAGTATCTTACACATGTAGCCCAGACTAACCTGGAACTTACAGTGCAACCCAGACAGGCCTCAGATTTGTGGCAATCCAACTGCCTCACTTTCCCAAGTGCTGGAATTACAGGTATGAGCCACTATGATTGAATTAATAAACATTTTTAAAAATTACATTTCATTCATGGGGGTGGGTGAGATAGGGCACTCACGTGCCATGACACTTGTATGGAAGATGACTTGGGGGAGCCAGCACTCTTCATCCAACATGTGTCATCCCAGGGATTGCGCTCAGGTCATCAAACTAAGGACAATCATCTTTACCTGATGTTGCAGCCTCTGAAAAACATTTTAAATGAGAAGCTGAGTAAGATATTAACAATTCAGATTCTAGTCAAGAACTGGCAATAAAGAGGGTAATTCACAACACTTCAGCATTTGACCAGTAGAGTCAGCCTACAAATACTACAATTATACAAAAATGCTTTGCAAGATTACTTTTAAGAAACTAATTTCAGAATATACTAATTATTCTAAAATGTTTCAACTCTTCCCCCCCTCCCCACCCTTCAGCTTTCTATACAATTCTTTAGGAAGGAAAAATGCAAGGATTCACCATGTGGAAGGTGAGAACTTCCAACTTTATTCATTTCCACTGACTGGGATTTTAATTCACAGAGCATCATGGGTGTTCTGCCTTCTTTCCAGTCTTGTAAAGCTGTCACACAGAGAAGGTTAATTAACTGGGGCAGGCTGGAATGGGACAGCTCTTAAAACACACTGGAAGCCAGAACCCAGACAGGCAGCAATGGTTTGAGTCAAGGAAGGAACAGGCAAGAACATGTTGTAACAAATTCATCCGTGAGAAAGTTACAGGAGTGTCGCAGCTAGGACCAGTCAGAGTTCAGAACTTCAAGCTGGCAGTGAACCTGTTCAGAGAATTTGTTGCTGCACTTACAACCCAGGCACTGTGTATTGTGTGGGTGTGAAAGAGAGCCAAGTCTGTATCCGAGGCCTGAAAGAACCAAGGTTAAGAGGAGGGTTGCCCAGTCCTGGAAACAAAATTGTTGGGTCGGGGAAGATGGCTTGGTTGCTAAAGTACTTGCTGTACAAGCATGAGGACCTGAGTCTGATCCCCCAGAACCAGTGTGCTGGTGTGCACTTGTAATTCTTTGTAATACTAGCACTGGGGAGGAGCAGACCAGGTGGATCCCTGAGGCTACCTAGGCAGCCAGCCTAGATGAATCAGTGAGCTCCAGGCAATACAGAGACCCTGTTTCAAAAAACAAAGTGGATGGCACCTGAGGAATAATGCATCAGGTTAAGCTCTGGCCTGCACACACATGTACCTGCACACACACACACACACACACATACACACACATACACACACACACATGATCCAAATATTGATGAATTCATACAATAAATATTCATTAAGTAAGAACTATTTTCCAGGAAGTGTAGGAGGCACAAAAACAAAAACACATCTAAGTTGCTGCAGTCACAGAACTCACTTTCTAATAAAAGAAACAATCCACAAGATAATAAAGTAAATTATATGTTAGAAAATGATGAGGATAAGGAGGAAGGACACAGTAGGAAAGGGGGTGATGAAGTCTGTGTGTTGGCAGTAACATTAGATGGATGACCAGAGAAGCCTCATTGACAAGACGCTCTTGGAACTAGATCTGAAGGCCACGAAGGACCAGGAAATGCCAGGAAATAGGTAGAAACTGTTCCTGTTATCAGCAAAGGTATAGAAGAGGTCTGCACTTGGCTGTGGGCGAAGGTCAAGATACTGTAACTGGATCAAAAGGTCAGACATTCCCTTAGCTTTGATGGATGCTGTATCACCTGAGGATGAAGCAAAGCCACTAATATCAGGGCAGGGCTGAGTTATTATTCATCTTTGTACCTGAAGCATGGAGCAGAGATACCAAATAAGTGTTTATTGAGCAGAGTTCTTAAAGCTCTGAGAACCTAGGGTGAGGCTGAGATCAATTTGATGCCTAGGGCAGTGCTTCCACTCAGGATGACACTTTCATAGAATGTGATGATCCCTTTTGTGATTGTCTTCCTGGTCTTTGGAGGTAAGGATCATTCACCTTGTATCATCATCAACAAATCCACTAAGGAGGGATAGGGACAGACAGAGGGGAGAGGAACTGGAGGAGGAGACTAGCCAGCCCTGTTCTATGCTCATACCCTAAAACCCCAATTCAGACTAATTATTGTGGATGAACTTCCTGTTCAACCTGTAACAATAGCTTAGCCAGTCCATTGTAAATTGTCCTTTGCAAGGTTTCTTCCTCTGCCTTTGCCTGGCATCCTAAATCCTAAATAGAAGCCATATCTAATTGATTAAGCTGTCAACTTGCCAAATCATCTTCCTTTAGACTTCTAGAACCTAGAACATCTGGTGACCTTCAGAAAACATCAGAATGTGTAATGTCCCTCTTCATTCTTTAATCTGTGCATTAACTATCACAAAACATGTTAACTGTTCTGATGGTTTGTTTTCGTTTTTATCAGTAACAGGGCTCAAACCCAGAGCCTCAAGCATGGCAGGAAACACTAAGCTATACCCCAAATTTGCTCTGATGTTTAACTTAGAGAGAAGTAACTTACTTGTAACTGGTCCCAGGTGGTCAAGGTCAATTGTGATGTTAGAGTCAGAGAAAAGAAAATAAAGGAGACTCAGGCCCTTGATGACAAGACCTCACCCTAGATGACAAGACTGCTTAGGATGCTGCCTTCTGCTCTTTGTCCTCTGCTCCTCCCTTCCTTCTACAAAAGCCCTTTGTACCCCTGAGTTCCCAACATTTCTCCCTCTTCTTAGATGCCAGCCCTTGCATAACATTGATTTCCTTCCCACCAACACTTGTCTCCTGAGT